CCCCCCCCCCGCCCCGAGTGCACAAATTTTTGTGCACCGGGTCTCTAGTCTATATATATAAAAGCCCAAGCGACTGTCGCAACCAAAACAACCAAACGGACGACCGAACAGGCTGTGTGGGGCGACCAGGCCAGCAGGGGGGTTAGTGAGGGGTGACTAAACGACAAAACAGCAGGCTGCATGGGGCGACCAGGCTGGCGGGGGAGGCGGTTAGGGGTGACCAGGCTGGCAGTGGGGGGGGAGTTGGGGGTGACCAGGCCAGCATGGGGGGCAGTTGGGGATGACCAGGCCAGCAGGGGTGGCAGTTAGGGGCGATCAGGCAGGCAGGCAGTCAGACATCCCCCGAGGGGTCCTGGATTGGAGAGGGTGCAGGCTGGGCTGAGGGGACCCCTCCCCCGGCCCCGTGCACGAAGTTTGTGCACCGGGCTTCCAGTATAAAGATAAGAAACTTTAAAGTGATTAATAACTTTACTTTCCCAATAAACACTCAGATCCTATGCCCTATTAATTCTTCTTTGAAAATGTTTCTTAACTCCATTCCCATAGTCACAATCAAAGACACAAACAGTTAATAGAAAGGGAAAGATTTTCATCTCTGTCCTTTTCTTGTCTCACATTAACAAAAGAGGAATACCTCCTCTTCCAAGTTATGGCGACTAATTATATGGTAACCAATTCTTTTTGACATATCATCCCCAAATTGATGCCACCATTCCCATATCCAGGAACTTAGTTAGACAGGTTTGTCTTCTCAAGCCCTTTTCATACTGTGACTGGACTACTGCAGGACTCTCCTCTTTGGTATCCATACAGCTCCAGTCTCTCCCTCTTTTTTCTTTTTTTCCTTATCTTTTTGTTGTTGTTGTTGTGCAATTGTCTTTATAAGATACTATTTTCATTATGTTACTTGTCTTCTTAGGAACTTGTACTGGATTATGAACTATTACTCATCACATCTAAATCTCTATGCTTCTCACTTAAGACCTCCATTAAATTGGCCCCAAGGTACCAGTCCTCATTATGAACCCTAATTTTGGTGATAACCAGTTTCCTTACTGCCCCTAAAAGTTCATTCTAGCTTTTAAAGTTCAGGGAGTTCGCTTTATTTTGATTTTTGTTTGGGGTTGGTTTTGTTGTTGTTGTTTTTGCCTAAAATATACCACTCGAAGTATCTTACTTTTTGAAATGCTACCCCTCTTTTAAGACTGAACACAACCCAGCCAGTATGGTTCAGTGGTTGAGTGTCAACGTATGCACCAAGAAGTCACTGGTTTGATTCCCTGTCAGGGCACGTGCCCAGATTGCGGGCTTGATCCCCAATAGGGAGTGTGCAGGAGGCAGCTGATCAATGCTTCTCTCTCATCGATGTTTTTATCTTTCTCCCTGCTCCCTCTACCCTCCTTTCTCTAAAAAAATCAATAAAAAATATTGAAAAATAAAAAAGGCTGGACACAATTTTCACTTCTTTTATAGTCTGTTTTACTATGGTTGCAAATATCAAAAAATTTCTATATGTGACACGGCACCAGAGTTAAGTTAGGGTTTTTCAAAATGCTGACACGCCGAGCTCAAAAGGTTCGCCATCACTGGTATCGACTATATTTTTTAATATTAACTCTTTTTTTTTGCAGGTGACCAATTTAATAAGTGAACTTACATACAAGGGTTGTCTAGGTAGCTGTATGACCGGTGGATCTACACCCACCTGCCGGAATCTTAAACATTTATACAGAAGCCTTACGAATATTAACTCTTTTTTTTTAATATATTTTATTGATTTTTTACAGAGAAGAAGGGAGAGGGATAGAGAGTTAGAAACATCGAGAGAGAAACATCGATCAGCTGCCTCCTGCACGCCCCCCAGTGGGGGTGTGCCCGCAACCAAGGTACATGCCCTTGACCGGAATCGAACCTGGGACCCTTCAGTCCGCAGGCCAACGCTCTATCCACTGAGCCAAACCGGTTCGGCACGAATATTAACTCTTGTATCTCTCATACTATCTAACCAATGATGGGCTCTCAATAAATATTTGCTACTTGACTGACAATGCAGAAATACTGTGAAATTATAATCAAAAGAAGAATCTTAACACATTGAGATTACAGAATCAGTTTTCTAACTCAAGATCCTTTCACATTCACAATCTTTTTCATATTCATTGCACATAAAGAAAACTTTAATATTTGTGTGACATTCTGGAATGAAAGGATAAAGCAGCCAGAGGTGACCAACTGGGCACTTCAGCCACCCTAGCGGGTGAGAAAATCAATATCTCAGCATTCCTAAAACCTATAGTATTCTAGTTGACAAGCTATGATCTAAATGACTTCTGCTCTGCATCAATGGCAATAAATAAATAAACAAATAAATAAATGTCTATGTGGAATATTACAAGTACCATAACCCAAGAAAAAGCATGAAAGCACATGAAATAAAAAGAATTCAAAGAAAAAGTCCCAAAACAAGAACAAAAAATTGAATGTCATACACATTAAAAAAAAAAAGTTTCCTTTTCTAAATTACCAGTTTCTATAAATAGAAATTTATCTGTTAAAAAATGTTTTCACCCATTCATTGACTGTACCCTTCTTGTAACACATGATGGTCTGTCTTCTGTTCATTACAGTACCTGTAATAATTCTCGACGCTCTCCAGACTTGGAACATTGAATGAATCTAATTAAAAAGAAAAGAGCAAACATCATCTATATTAAAAAGAAAAATGAACCCTGGCCAGTGTGGCTCAGTTGTTTGGGCATTATCCCATGCACCAAAAGGTTGCTGGTTCAATTCCTAGTCAGGGCACATGCCTGAGTTGTGGGCTCGATCCCTAGTGGGGAGTATGTGGGAGGCAGCCAATCAATGTCCCACTCTCACATCGATGTTTCTCTTTCTCGCTCTCTCCCCCTTCCTCTCTTTCTGAAAATCAGTAGAAATATTTTTTTTAAAAAGTGCAAACATGTTAATGACTAAAGAAAAATTACAATTCTTTCAATAACACTTTAAATGGTAGAATGCCAATAAATTAGATTGATAATTTTTAAAATTTGAAAATAGAATTCAGATTATCTGGAAACTTGTTTAAGGCATCTAGTATACTGGAGAATAATAAATACAGTGGGGCCTTGACTTACGAGTGTCCCGACTAACGAGCCGTCTCACGGCTGATTTTTTGCTTTGAGTTGAGTTGCGAGCTAAAATTCAGGTTACAAGCCAGCTTCAGATGCCCCACCGCTAGTTGGCGCAGCGAACATCACAGTGATTTGACATACGAGTAATTTGAGTTACGAGCTCCGTCACGGAACGAATTAAACTCGTAAGTCAAGGCCCCACTGTACTTTGAATTATGTACTATTTAGAATACACATCAATTTGAAAGTACAAGACTGGATGGTTATTGCTGTTGTTTTAATCATGTGATTCTGGAAGCCAGCAAGGACTGGACTGATGCCTGATATATGGATACATACCAAGTGCCTCTAAAAAACAGATTACTTTGATAACAGCCCCTCTCCTCTTAAATCTTTTTTTTTTAATATATTTTATTGATTTTTTTTACAGAGAGGAACAGAGAGTTAGAAACATCGATGAGAGAGAAGCATCGATCAGCTGCCTCCTGCACACCCCCCACCGGGGATGTGCCTGAAACCAAGGTACATGCCCTTGACCGGAATCGAACCTGGAACCCTTCAGTCCCCAGGCTGACGCTCTATCCAGTGAGCCAAACCAGCCAGGGCTCCTCTTAAATCTTAAAGAAGATTCAGTAAGAAAGGAATTACATAATGGTAAGGGTTAAGGTTCAGGATGTCATAGAATATTTATCTGGAAATACAGTGATTTCATAGTTTGACAGACTGATTCCAACAGCTAAAACTGCTTCAATTCCAGTAATCCACTACATTTCTAATAACCTTATAAATTAATCTGTAAGTCCATTCTAGCCCCAAAGAAATATAATGTATATGTAACTTCTTGCTTAGTAAGAGAAAAAGTGTTATAAATTTTAGTAAAGATTAGTTTCTCCTCCTATGATAGCACAACATGTATGTATATGCCCATACCATAAACATTTATGCCCATGCAAGTTAAGTTAGATTTTTATGAACTCCGAGGACTATGCAGATTATTTAAACACAAGAGTCTATTTGATATTTCTTACTTGAAATAAGTCAGCACCTTGGCTTGGAAAACTTTTTTTAAAAATACACATATTTATTATTTATTGCAAAAGAATTTGACCTGTACCACTAATTAGGATCAGGGAAAAGGGGAAATGTAAATATAGCAGAGAAAGCTGTAAGCCAGATATCCTGTTTTCAATTTATAATTCATAGTTGCTTTGTAAGAAGGCATCTTTTAATCAAACCAACAGCTGTATATTTCACCAGACAGACTTATCTGCTTAAAATAGTAGAGTTTAAAAATATAGTTAGGTACTTACCACTAATGAATAATCAAATGAAGCAGACAAATTAAGTAACTAACCAGTAAGAAAGTCAACCTTTATAAAACCAGCAAATCTACTACCATCATGATACTTTTGGAGAAGAGTTCATTTCCTTACTATCACAACAATGATCATCTAAAAACAGAAAGGGATTATCCATTTCTCTCCTCATGCTGATGGGGATTTATTTGCAATTTCAATTTATACACAGTAAAATTCAATCTTTGTGATGTACAGTTCTATGGATTTTGAGAAATGCACAGTAATATATGTACCACCACAATCAAAATACAGAACAGTTCCACTACCCACCAAAATTCTCTCTTGAAGCCTCTTTATAGTCAACCTTCTCCCCATCCTCACCCCTGGCAACTGCAATCTGTTATCTACCCATAGTTTTGCCTTTTCTTGAATGTCATAAAACTGACATTCAAGATTGACAAGTTTGGCTTCTTTCACCTAGCAAAATGCATATTTTTTAAAATATTCACCTGCATGGATTTTGCTAGGAGCTTTTCTTCCATGTAAAGAAGAAAGGACCATACAACTTTCCCCTCTAAGGCCAACATTGACATCTGTAGTTTCATATTTACTTATTTTTTAAAAATATTTTTATTGATTTCAGAGAGGAAGGGAGAGAGAGAAAGATTAATGATGAGAGAGAATCACTAATCGGCTGCCACCTGCATGCCCACACTGGGGATCAAGCCCGCAACCTGGACATATGCCCTGATGGGGAATCGAACCATGACCTCCTGGTTCATAGGTCAATGCTCAACCACTGAGCCACACTGGCCAGGTGACACCTGTAGTTTTAAAATCATATATCATAGTTGTATTTCAGAATTGTGGCCTTTAGTATCTCTAAACCTAGGTTACAATGTCCCATTTTATAATCTAAATGAAAGAATCTAGGCTCCTGGAGGAAATAAAAATATAGCCTTAATATATGTGGGTCTTGACTCTTACCATGATTTCCTTTGACATCAAGCCACTTGGTTTTTTCCATGACCCTTGTCTTCTTCAGAATACTGTGGTAAGTTTGCCATTCTACCTTCTGCTGCATAGATCCCAACAGGTCCTTCGTTTTGGCATCTGTCAGATCTCCTGCAGATTTACATAAGAATTGAATCGCAATACAAAATAAACCCCAGAGGAGGTTCAAGGTTCAACTTATTTTAATGCACACTGAAGGAACAGATACTTAAAGTATTCCACATGTGTAAGCATAGCCACTTTTGAGTCCATTCATTTGTTCCTTATAGCTTAGCAAATGCCTATTTAACCTCCTATATTAGAAATGGGTTGTGAAAAAATATATCTTTAAAGAGAGCATGGACTGACCAGTGTGGCTCAGTGGATTGAGCACTGACACAAGCACCAAAGAGGTTGCTGGTTCAATTCCCAGTCAGGGCACATGCTCGGGTTGCGGGCTGCATCACTCATAGGAAGCAGCTGATTTATATTTGATGTTTCTATTTTTCCCTCCTTTCCTCTCAATCTAAAGATCATTAAAAACATATTAAAAAAATAAAAAAAGAGAGCATGGGACCCTAACAAAAATTATAAGAAATTCCAACAGTCTGGGCAGGTGCCTAATGCCAACGGCTGTAATCTAACCAAGTATTATTTTTACAGCAAGAAGCAATCTGGAAGGTGTAGATTGGACAAAGAAATAGCAACATTTCTAGAAAACTAGACAGACCCTTGAAATAGAAGTTTGCCATAAGATGAGGACTGCTATTCCATCATATCACTAGAGGTGTTTCAATAAGGGGGGGGGATGAATCCCCTAGAAGACAAGATAGATGCTCCTTTAGCTTCTCCTCCAACATGATTTGGGAGCAAATGGTTAGGGGTTTGAAAACTCTAGGGAACCCAAGTCTCAGAAGTACCAAGGGCTGAAGAAAAAGTGTCCTGAGTAATTTAAGCCTCAAACAACTGACAATATAAGATTAACTGTAAAAAACATGGAAATATGAGTGCGTTTTGTTTTAAAGGTAACTTCTGAGTTGTGGTTAAAGGGCTTTCCCTAATCCTCTCTCAAATTCAGGAATGCAACATCAAAAACAGATACAAATACAGCAGACATTAAGATGAGGACATCGAGTCCTGCTTCTACCGCTTTAACAAAACCTTGCTATGACAAATCTTTTATCCTGGATCTTGATTCAGTTATCCACAGGCAAATGGAATTATAACGTGTTATCTCCTCTACAGGAGGAGGGCTCACCTGGGGCTGGGGCTACAGTGTTTCCAATGTTCCCAAAGTGAAGGGCTGCAGCCCTGGCTATCATTCTACCTTCCGGACCACAGAACAACAGGATAGCACAGCAACCTTCCCTACCTGTTGCTAGGACGAGAGCTGGTTGAATGATGTCAATAGTTTCAGAACAGAACTTTTCTAAGTCTGCAGCTCTGCCTGGGTCATGAAACCTGCTCAGGTGAAGGTCGGATATCTGCCGAAAGCAGGTATTAAACAGATATCTGAGTCAGGAAGAGGCAGCACGTACAGAGCGACCCAGCGGCTCTCTATGGGGGTAGGAAAAAGCAAAGATGCAGTGCAACAGAGAACCCACCCTCCCCA